CTTACAGGGTCATGTGAGGACTGTGAAGTTCTTAGAAGAGTGTCTGGCATATAGTAAGAGCCTTCTCAAATGTAGGCCCACCTTTGTTGATATCACATAAAATAACCAAMTGGCATTATTGACTTATAGAAATGTCTACCACTGGTTTACTTTGATTGCTTCTCAAACACAGATATAGGTTCCAGTAGAATGGTAGACTATTTGTTTTTTAATGGATTCTCAATTTCAGACTTTTTTTGTACAATAGAGCTTAAAAACAAAGATTTGCAATTAGATTTTTCTGTGTTGCCTTTATTACTTTTATCCTTAACCTATTCATTTACTCAACAAGTAATGAGTACCTACTGTATGCTAGGCATTGTGTTAGGTGTTGGAGATGAGAGTGTGAACAAAACTAGACACGTCCTGTGCCTCCACAGAATTCAGAATTTACCTAGAAAGACAGGCATTTCCCATTTAATACTCAAATAATCATAAATTGTCAAATTTGAAAAATTTTATGTTGGAAATATTCTTCTAAAAGTGTACAGAGTTAGGAGACCTGATCCTTGGAAGAATTGGCAGGGAGGGAGAGACCCTATGTGGGGGGAGGGGGCTTCCCAGGAAGACTCATTAGAGCTGAGTTCTGAAGGATCAAGTACAGCATGATCTTACCCATATGTAAAATCTAAAAATACTGATCTTATGGAAGTTGAGAGAATAGCCGTTACCAGAGACCAGGAAAGTAGTGGAGGAGGTAGAATGAGGAAAGGTGGGCCAACAGGTACTACATTAAGTTGGATAGGAAGAATAAGTTTTGGTGGTATTTGGCACAGTAGGGTGAATATAGTAAACAATAATCCATAGCATATGTCGTAATAGTTACAAGAGAGAATTTTGGAGGTATTTCCCACAAAGAAATGATATAAATTTGGGATGACTGATATATTGATTACTCTACTTTGATTGGTACCCATGTTCAAATTAATCAAAACATCACATTGTACCTCATAAGTATGTACAACTCCCCCCCACCACCCAAATTATAAGTGCTGAAAAGTAAAAGGAATACACTAGATGAAAGGGAGGAGTATTCCAGGAGAGGAAACAGAATGTATAGATGTCCTGAAGCACAGTCTGGCCATAGGGCTGAGAGAGGGTGCGTGTCTGGACCACAGTAGTGCAGGATGGAAGGCCATAAAGGCAAGTGAGTCTAGGGGGAAGACAGCCACATGACAAGACCACAAAGCCTTGTAAGCCAAGGCAATAATTCTGATGTTTATTCTAAGTTTTTAAAATAGGGTTAGATTGAAGCTGAGGATATAGCTCAGTTGGTAGAGTGCTTGGCTTGCACGCACAAGGTCCTGGGTTCAATCTCCAGCACCATGAAGAATATAAATATATATATATATATATATATATATATATATATATATATATATATATATATATATAT